TTTGCTGTAATGCAGAGTTATGACTGGAAAAGCTTAACAGTGTTTACAGTTGAGCTTGCTCGCACATATGAGCGTGTGGCAAAACATCACTGTTTGTGGGCAAAAAGGGAACATGAGGCAACCTGCACCGGACAACTGCCGTGATGTCTTGTGGATTATATATACAGGAGACCATCAAGCAGTGCAAGTATAGAAAGGACTTTGGAAAAAGTACAACTTCTAGCACTGATTTTTTTTAAATTGTATTTTATATTTAATTTTTTCCTACTCAGTTTTGCAGATCATATTTTTCCTTCTCTGGTACTTGAGTTGTAATCAGTTACAATTACAGTATTATTTTTGTAGCTAACACTTTAAGAAATTGTTGCTGGTGGTGTTTGTTCACTTGCTTATTCAAGTGAGACTCTTATTAACCAGTTTGTCTCTTGATGTAGGAGAGAACATGGTTGGCGTGTGAGGGTCCAGGAAAGATGTGGGGGTCCCTGAAGCTTCTTGTAAGCACTGCAGACACATCTGAAAATACTGAGAGATTTTGTGATGAATGTGAGAGATTACTTTCAGCACAGCTGAATGCAAAGCAATGAGGAAGGAACAATACAGGCTTCTGTGCAAAACTATCCCTATAGCAAAACATAAAACCATACCTGGGCAATGACTGGTTACTGCTCAGGAAAAGGGTATTGAGTTTATTTGGGGTGATTTTCTGCAAAAGCCTGCTCAGTGCTAGCTTAAAAAACCCAACCACACAAACTATTATGGAAAAGGAGTAGAGGGCAAAAGAGGAGGCCCGAATACATCATGTTATAAATCCCCATCTTGAATATTATGTGCTGTTTTGGACTCTGTTCCAAGATTTAGTAGAAAAGCAAGAGGCATGGAGAAGAATGACGGGCTGGGGCTGGCTTCTGGAAGAAGAAGGGGTGAATAAGATTGGGACTGATCGATCTGGAGAAGGGAATGAAGAAAGTCAAGATGTATGTTGCAGGATTAACTGCCAAATATACTTAGGAAGACAAACCCATAGTGATTTCAAAAGTAAATTGGACAATCCTGTGGGAGGTAAGGATTTGATTACATGGGTTTGAGTGCAGCCTATGGTTCTAGGCATGCAGATTTTAGGAATCTCTAAATTTCTGGTGGCTGGAGTTGGGGAAAATACTCAGCATTGTTCACACTTCCCATCTTGGTATGCTTGTTCCTCAGACATCTGTGCTAAGGCTTTCAGAAACAGCGTACTGAGTCAGGCAAGCCTGTGAATTAAGAGTACGAGCCTACTCAAACCTTTGAATTGAGAGTGCGTGCATACTCAAAAGAAGTGTCCAGAAGAGGCTTGGCTGTCATTAGAGCACCTGTTTGGATGGGTCCCCAGTATTGTTGGAGGGAGGGGAGTGTTTGTACTCAAGGCTTGTTATGTAAGAAACCGAACTTCTCAAGAATTTTGGAGACAGCAACAGTGAGGCACAAACAGTTTAGAGAGGAGCTTGAGATTGCAACTTTTGGACTGCTGTGAAGCTGTGATCCTTGTTTTGGTCTTAAATCTGTTTATCTAGATGTCTGGCTTCGTGCATTTTGTTATTCCTCTCATATTTTGGAGAGGTGGATTTTTCAGTCTTCTGCCAGTGGAATGGGGATGATGACACCTTTGCTGTTCCGCCCCTCTTCCAACTTCTGCATTTTGTGTATTTCTCCCTTCTGAATAACCCAAAGTTCCTTTCTTAGCTGTTACCCAGAGCTGGTTTGTTTGGGGTTGTTGTTTTTTTTTTTGTGGTTCTCTAACAGCAGCTGCATGAAGATGGTCACTGCTGTCAGGTTTTGATCGGCAGCTGCAAAACCAAGCAGTCCTCTTAATTTCATGTTGCATCTGGCTGGTGAAGCTTTGTGCAGTAGTAGCATGTCTTCACCTTCGAGAAGATCACGTTACATTCATGAACAGTTTGCAGTTGGAAGGGGGTTTTTGTAACTAGAAGAGCTGTTTGTACCTCTTAAACAAACATAGTTCTGCATTAGCTGCCAATATCCAGAGTAAAACTTCTTTTTTTCCAAGCCCTTAGTGGTTTTGAAAGTCTCAGTTTGAGAGGAGCGGGCTCTGTGTTTTGTTTGACTTTGTTATGCTGTCTTCATTAACGTATTAAAATGTAGAACTGGTTTTGGTTTGTTATGAAAACTGCCTTTTAAAATTGTAAAATATAGTTGTAATTAACCTGAAAGTAAGTAACCCATAAAAAATTTTGTGAGGAAACCTATGGCGATATTGTTAATTCTCTCTGCCGCTTTATTTTCATCCTCAGTTGCTGCAACACATGTCCTAGACTGTGCAGTGACGTAACCTTTGCCTGGTTATGCATGGCATGAAGTATTGTTTCACCTCTGAGTTGTCTCTTCACTTCTGATGACCAAAAGAAAGATTTCCCTGTACCTTAAGGTGTAGAAGGTCACAAAGTTACAGTGACAACAACAAATGCTAACAAGTGCACTTTGGATCTGTCAGTGCTGTGTTCTGATCCACACCAGCTGCCCAGATCTCCCTGCACAGAGGGGCAGTTTCTAAAGCCAACGGGTTTTTGATTCCAGTTGAAGTATCCTAAAAGCGTGTTTACACGATGTAGGAGACGTCTTCCGCCGACCTGCGGCTGTCCCCCCCAGTGGTTTGGAACTGCAACTATTGACAAGTGCAGGCAGAGTTTTGGATAAACTAGGGAGGTCTCTTGCCAATTCAATGAGCATCAAAAGTGGTGTGTGATGTTTACAACTTGGTCTCTCTTGCCAAAAGTTGTCTCTCAAATTGTGTAAACATTGCCTCTTGCATCTCAAAAGTAATTTTCTGGTGTTTGAGTATGTCTTAGGAAGTATGAGTGGTGGGAAAAGATCTTCTCAAAGCTCTTACACAGGTTTACTGAGTCTCTTTTTGGCTCAGTTGATTGTGCTCTCTTGGTTCTTCACTTTTTTCACTGTGACTAGGACAGAAGCCATAAAAATCTTATGTCAGGGTTTAGAAATCAGGTGATCTCAGCTGCTTTAATTTGCCTTTCCTATGGAAAAGCAAACCATTGTGGTGGTGTTCCTGTAAATTCCCTTTGACGGGAATTCTTTTGCGGGAATGTTATCGACACGGTGTAGTTTACAAGGGAAAAGTACCAAAAGCATCCTTCATCAATTTCTTATTTGGTATGCATCAAACTTTTATGTATTCTGTGGAAATGAAAAAAGGAATTTGATAAGCTGTGAAAAATTTAGGAATAAATGTGAAACTTCTATGGCAAGATAAAATAATAAATTTCTATTTCATTTGTTCACCTCTGTTGTCTCTGAGACTGATCACAAACAGAATTCAGTTGCTTGCTCTTCACTTCAAATGAAAAATCTTGAGTTGTCTAACTTCACAAAGAGTCATACGGTGAGAGGATTAACTCACTAATACAACAAGAAAGACTTTTAAAAGTTAAGTAATACCATATTATTGTATAGCTCCTTTGACAGACAACTTGCCTAATTAATTATAACAGATTTCTAATTAAAGATTTATTTATTTGAAAATGTTATCTAAAGACTTAATTTCTGTCTGAAGGCAGTTTCTGAAATACAAATAGAAAATATGCATAGTGTTCTACATTTTAATTTCATTAGTCTTTCTCTTAATACGTCTCTCATACTTCATATGGGTCAAAGTAAGCAACATTAGAATACTGTTGAAATGTGGAAATATAGGATATTCCAGTTATTTAGGTGAGCCTGTTTAATGTCTTCGCTGGCCCCACCAGTGTTTGAAGTATCTTGTAAAACAAAATTAAAATCGTAGCATTGCATATTGTTAGAACTTTTAAAATAGAGCTTCTTCAGAAAGATAATGACAAATTAAGCAAGATCCATCAGTGGCATTTAATTAACAACTTACTTATACGTGGTTTAACTATACTTTTTAAGACATATGCACAATGTCCTGAAGTCCTTGTTTGTGAGATAAGGGCTGTGGGTTTCCAGTTGATTCTAATGGAGTCTGAGACCTCCATTTTCATGAAGAGCCTTTCAAAAGTTTCCTGTTTGAACCTGTAACACGTTTCTCCAACATTTTTACCCCTACTGTCCCCTCCCCCCACGCATACACCATTACTTTAATCTGACAAATTTTATGGAGATTTTCCGTGGAGACTTTAACATAGGGATGGATTAGAGATCCGTCTATAATCCATTTCTCTTCTGAACGCTAATTATTTGGAATTATGTTTCTAATGTGGAGTACGGAAAAACCTGTCCCTTCTGTACCATGAGGAATGGCCTGTTTACTTGGATGCCTTCAGATTCTGCCTATTTAAGTGACTGGGAACAAGACCAGAAAGACATAATGCTCTGTTTGCCAATTCTAATAGCAAAAATTGTTTAGACTTGAGAAATAGCTCATTGTCTATGAATCCATTAAAAGATCCATCACTGTGTGGGTCTTGTTTCCCTCTCACAGAAGTATGGTCTGTATATCTTAATGTCTGTTTTCCTCTGAAGACTATCATACTTTATATGATCTTGTCAATCAAATTCTTTTCATGTTTTATTCTAAGTGTTGTTTTCTTCCATATATTAACTTCTGGTGGCATTTGAAACAAAAGGTTTCTGCCTCTTTTTGCAATCTTGATGCTGTGAGATGACTTAAAGATGTTGGAAAGGAAGAAAACAGAGTGTTAGCCAACTGAAGTGCATTGGTATTAGGAACATTAAAAAAACCTTTCCCTCCTAAAAAGAAGCATATGATGGTTGGTCTGTTTGGCTTGTTTAAAATACATTTTGTCACAACTGTAAAATGAATCTGTTGGGTCTTGTCATCACTCTGATTTTGCTCTGTGCACAGTGTCTATTTCTGAGGGCACTGAGTTTCATATTTGCTGTGTTTTCTTAATGTGACCGGTGTGTTTTCCTACTAATAGGGATTTAGAAACTGCTGAGCTAATGACATGTACTTAATAGAATGTTATTGTTAAAACTATTTCCAGGTACATCCACCTTTATGGAAGCATTAGCAGCCAATGGTACAACCAACATACAGACATCTGTGACAGGAGTGACAGCCAGCAAGCGGAGGTTTCTTGATGACAGGAGAGATCAACCTTTTGATAAAAGGCTACGTTTCAGTGTGAGACAAACAGAGAGCGCATACCGGTACAGAGACATTGTTGTCAGGAAACAAGATGGATTCACACACATTTTGCTATCAACAAAATCATCTGAAAATAATTCACTAAATCCAGAGGTCAGAACAATTCTGGTTTTTTGGGGGAAGGGAGCTGGGGGAATTGGGAGCCCTTGCCTCATTTACGCCCGTTATTCAGGCACAAACGGGCACAAAACAAGATTCAGGTTGTCGTTTGCAAGGTGTTGCACGTACACAACTGACTCGAAGTTGAGTTTTACCACTGTGTTATCTGGACATGTAGTTGTCCTGGATGTCCTGTCTTTTATAAGACGCAGTGATTTACGAAGTGAAACCTGAAATAAGCTTTAGCCTGAATTAAGGATCTTTTTTTCTGAACTGGTTGCATATGCCATCTGCTGTCCAAGTTACAGAAATGCTGAGTGAGTGCTTTAGTTACAGATAACATCTAATAGATCTTCCTTAATGATTTCATTATCTTAGTCTAATTACATTTTTGAAATGCAAAGCTTCTCATACTTTTTTTTAAACTTTCTTATTTCCAGATAATGAAAATAGTTAACTTTTCTAATATGATGGTTGAGTGCATCCTAAGGAAAAATGAAATATGTCAAAGATCTGATGGGGGGAGGGGAGGAGGAGAACAGTATGTTGCTTTTTAATGATGGAATAAAAAGATTGTAATGGATTTTTGATTTTTCAGGTAATGAAGGAAGTCCAAAGTGCACTGAACACAGCGGCTGCAGATGACAGTAAACTTGTGCTGTTCAGTGCAGTTGGTAGCATTTTCTGCTGTGGTCTTGATTTTATTTATTTTATACGACGCTTAACAGATGATAGAAAAAAGGAAAGCACTAAGATGGCAGAAGCTATTAGGTATGTAAGATTATCTTCACGAGTGGAGATTCTTCATCAGGTAGTCTGGCTTGTTTTAACTTTTTGATTTCAAAAGCTTCTAATCCAGCAAGATCTCAGACATTCAGCTGTTATGTGATACAGCGTGCAGCACTTCTTTATACTCCTTGTCCCTTTCTATTTCAGTTGTCATTTCATGCATCAGTATTTTTACTACTAAAATTTAACTATGAAAACTAGTAGTTTGGTAATACTTCTCCAGTTGATACCCCTTTTAAAAGGCTTAAATAGCCACAGGGTTTCAGGAAATCAAATTTAACGCACACAAACACAAGAAGTGCATTGAATGAGTAACTTAATATAGTACATTCAAAGCAGTGGAATGATAGATACTTTTAAGAAGTAGATGAATACTGGGGATTATCATCCCAATGCTAGGTACCAAACCTGACATTGGAACAAAATGAGTGAACTACTATAAACTAGAAGAATATTTATGGGAAAAAAGTATGAATCTGAGGCATGTATTGACAGTACAGACACTATCTTCTCATTTGAACACTGGGTTTGAGGGCCTGGGCTCTTGGATTAGCTCTTGTACACTTCCAGAGTGTCTGTATTCCTTCAGACACTGCTGTTCTGTCACCGTTATCAATATTCACATCCCTAAAAAAAGGCTTTGTAACATGTAAAGCCTATTTCATTGGAGGCGCAGTTGGGTCCTAGAGGTGACAGTAGTTATTTTGTCCAAAGGAAATTTTCAGTCATTCCATGTAAAATTTGCTCATGCAGTGACTTCAGATGCAACCAGGTGACAGAGGCTCTTAACACTGAGCTTCTGTCACTGGTTTCATTCAGGCCCTTCCAGAAGCCTGATTTGTCACCTATCGCTCATCGTTAATGAAACGGATAAAAGTAACTTAAAACACTTATGAACCCCCCTTTCAAGTATAACAGTGGTATTTTTCATATATATGCTAGAGATGATCCTTTCTGGAATATTCAGACATGATTAAAATGATCTTCAATCTCTGGATGGGATGTTTGTGTGGCGGCTTCCAGAATGATTTTTGCATTCATCGGTTTCAGTTCACTAGAACGAGTTAAAAAGCAGCATGATAACCTTCAGTGATGGATGCAACGTAGTAAAAATGTCCTATTCGCAGAAATACAAAAACATAATGCAGATAAAGAGCAAACTTTAAATCGGCACAAAATCCCCCTCTTTTAAAATTTGGATTAAAATCCCATATTTCAGCATCTAACACTGAAATGAAAAATCATTTGTCAATCAGAGCAAAGAAATGCTTTGCAGGTGCTGACAACTGTACATTGTACATTGTATTCTAATCAGAATTTGTCATGTACTTCAAGTAAATATGGACAACTTCTTAGTTTTATGTGGTGAGTATTTACTGAGAAATGTCTGCACCTCAACTTCAGTATTTTAGAAGTCTCTGAGAACAGAGAAGCAAGTAAGCACTCATACTTTGTGGGCACTGGAATGAGTTGTCATTTTGGGTTGATCATGAGGATGAGCATATGCATTTGTAGCTTAATAGTATAGCCCTTACAGCATTATGACCAACCAAGAGCAGGAGATGTGGAGGGGAAGCTCACAAGTGTGTGGTATGTGATAATGGAGCTCTACTACTTATGGCTTGTTCATAATTTTAAAAGGCAGATTTCTTTATTAAGAAAAGCTATCTCCCAGAAGTCCAGAAATACTCCTTAAGGAAACTCATTAGTGCTTTGCCCATCTTCACTTATACCTATATACTTTATATCTTCACTTAAAAATAAACATAGATACCTTATAGCAATATCATACATAAAGACAGTGAAGACCAAGCAGGGCTGTAGCCATGGTTTTAGTGCCCAGAGGTGAGGTGTGGCCACAGCCTCATCTAAGAGAGGGCTGTGAGGCATGTGAATATACCACGAGCACAATATTGGCTGGTGATTGTAGAGGGGGCATTAAATCCACACCTGCCCAATTACTGCATTTTGTTGGGCTGGGAGAAATGCTAGGCTTCACAGAATCAAAGTGTGGTTGAGGTTGGAAGGGACCTCTGGAGCCTATCTTGCCCAACCTGTCTCTGTTCAAGCAGGGTCACCTAGAGCAGGTTGCCCAGGACCTTGTCAGGCAGGGTTTTTGAGTATCTCCAAGTAGGGTGCATCCTCAACCTTGCTGGCCACCTGTTCAGCCACCCTCACAGTAAGAAAGTGTTTCCTGATGTGCAGAGGGAACCTCCTGTGTTTCAGTTTGTGGCTATTACGTCTGGTCCTGTCACTGAGCACCACTGAAAAGAGCCTGGCTCCATCCTCTTTGCACCCAAGTGTTTATGCACATTTATGAGAGACCCTCCTGAGCCATCTCTTCGCCAGACTGATCAGTTTCAGCTCTCTCAGCCTTTCCTCACATGAAAGTCAGTCCCTCAGTCATCTTGGGGGCCCTTTGCTAGACCATCTTCAGTAGCTCCGCATCTCTCTTTCACTGAGAATCCTATAACTGGACACAGTTCTGAGCAGAGGGGAAGGATCACCTCCTGCAACACACCTCCGAATGCAGCCCAGAATACCATTAGCCTTCTTTGTCACGAGGGCACGTTGCTGGCTCAAGTTCAACTTGGTGTCCGCCAGGAACCCAGGTCCTCTTCTGCCAAGCTGCTTTCCTGCTGTTTGGCTTCCAGCATATGTGGGTGCCAGGGGTTGTTCTTCCCCAGCTGCAGGACTGCACTTTCCCTTGTTGAACTTCATAAGATTCCTGTCAGCCCATTTCTCCAGTCTGTCGAGGTCCCCTCTGAATGGCAGCATGACCCTTTAGTGTATCAGCCCAGTTTTCTTTATCATCAGCAAACTTGCTGAGGGTACATTCTGCCCCATCATCCAAATAATGAATTAAGCTGTCGAACAGTATTGGACTCGGCACTGACCCTCCTGCCAGGGTGCAACACTAATTTCTGGCCTCCAAGTAGACTGTGTCCCACTGACCACCACCCTCTGAGCCAGCCATTCAGACGTTTTTCAGTCCACCTCAGTGTCTGCTCCTCCAGCTCGCACATATCAACACCTTTTGGGAGAGTCATGTGGGAGACAGTGCTGAAAAGCCTCACTGAAGTCCAGGTAGAGACTGTCCACTGCTCTCCCCTCACCCACCAAGCTAACCACCTCAGCGTGGAAGGTTATCAGGTTGGTTTCGAAAGTGATGTTACTGGGGAGATGAATTATCACTGTTTTTAAGGACTGGTATATTATTTTATTCTTTCTATACATGTAGTGAGTGCATGTTTCTGTTTCTCCTCAGGAATTTTGTGAATACTTTTATTCAGTTTAAGAAGCCTATCATTGTAGCAGTAAATGGCCCAGCCATTGGACTTGGAGCATCTATATTGCCTCTGTGTGACGTGGTTTGGGCTAACGAGAAGGCTTGGTTTCAGACACCATACACTACTTTTGGACAAAGTCCAGATGGATGTTCATCCCTTACATTCCCCCGGATAATGGGCCTGGCTTCTGTAAGTAACTTGCAGGGTAGGGGCTGACAGCTTCACAGTGCAGTTGGGATAATATATCCAGAGTGATTTCAAGACTTTTTATTACCTTTGCTATGTTGTCTTTCTTATTTTTCCTTTTTCTTATGAAAAACCTTTCATGAGAAACCAGTATTTATAGCTTATTCCGTGCTGTTACAACCTAGTCTTCACCTGTGTGCACAGAACAGAAAGCAGCCATGGGACCTAATTCCACGTCACAGGCACCCTTAACCCTGACGGTGGCAGAAGGGACATGATGTCCTGCATCCCAGGACGTACCTTCCCTGCCAATGCCTTGTGAGGAGCAGCCACGAGTGTCTTGCACACAGCACAGCACCAGAGTGTAGCAGAGCACGGGCTGTTCTGTGCTCAGTGTCATTATGTAGTAGAGCACCGTGTCACCAGCTATTAGCAGTCTCGTGCTATTATACAAAATAAGTAATTCAGCTTTCACGCACTCATCCTTCTCAAGAAGTCGTGTCGAACTTCCTCACTGTGTAGATCTCTGCTGATGTTTAACGCTAGTGTGCTATGCAAGAAATAGTCCAAACCACCTTTGTGAAGGATTTTTTTCTTTACAGTCTGGCACTCAAGTCACAGTACTGCTGTATCAAAAGAAAAGTGGTAATGCTTTGCATTGTTGCTGAAAACAGCCACATGTTACTTAGTATCCCTTTCCTGGCTTTCCAATTAGATGAAGGAATCAAATGTAACAAAAAGCTATTTTAAAATCTCTTACCTACATTGTTTTCATATTGCTTACTATTTTTCACACTGTGTTCTTTGAAAACTGTTAGACCTACTTCCCATTTCAATTTGAAATTGAATAATAACACTATGAAACAAGTGCTTGTAGCTACACCTGGTTTTCTTAAAGTACTGTTTATTTTAAAAGCCATTTTTCCTTGTAGGTGTGTATTGATTTAAAAATAGAGATGATGATATATTAAAAGCATCAGTTTGAACCGATCTAATGACTAATTGTGTGATGTCTGGATTTAGTTATTAGAGGAGAACAGGAAAGGTAACTGAAATAGATTAACAGTTATAAGAGTATCTTAGCATGTTTCAAACTACTGATTGTTCCTTTCCCTTTTTATTTGGCCATCCATCCATCCACTCACCATCCATTCCATCCATGCCCGTCCTTTAGAGACTTGTTACTTTTTGTTTCTCCAAAAGTTGTATAAAACCACAAGAAGCTCTTCCCTAGTATACTCTTTCATGTGTGTTTGTGAATGCTCTCATTTTTCAATATGAAGACTTAAACTGAAAGCTTTCAGTGGTAATTCCACAATATTCCGTTCAAAAAGGGGAAAAAAAGGTCCCCTGTTTTCATACTATCCTCAAGCCTTTGCAGTGCAGCTATGTCAGTGCTCTATGGGACAAAATAGAACTTCAGGCAGCGGATGCCATGAAATACACTCAATCTATACCAGAATTTTTGATGAAGTAGCATTCTTTTTGTCTATAAAAGGGAGAGAGAAGTCAGCAGAAAGAGATGGTATGAGTGAGATGAGGAACATTCAGGGGAATATATTAAATATGCAAAAGAAAGAATTAAGGCCTCTGTATGCATCATAAAATTTGGTACAAATGTAATAATTCAGCAGTATTAGTCCCACTCTTAACTCTTGTAAGTCAGGTTCAGTGCATTCTTTTTATTATGAGCAGTTATGTAAAAATCTTCAGTCATAAGATTGTTGGAAATACTTTCCCTACAGTCTTGGCTGGTGAGCAGGTCTCTCACGGAGTTTTGGTTTCTTTTTTTTTTTTCACAGAATATATTCAACGGAGTTAATTATTACAGGAAAGCTGAAGCCAAGACCTTACGGTTCAAAAGTGATACTGTATTGGAAAAAAACTCAAGAATTTTAGTAGAATTCTTAAACTTGGGTTTTGAGTTTGAAAATAATAGAGATTAAGGTGATGTCTGTCTGGGGAGATACATTATCGTGTGTCTGCTCTGGTTTTTTAGTGCTGGACACAGCAGCACAGGAGCCGTGTGATCAGCTTCACGTGCTGGGTGTCCCTGTCAGGCTCCAGCACGCTTGGCTGTGTTTCTTACACTTTTCAGTCACTCATGAGGCATTCACCTTTCCATGGTGCCTGCAGCCCACAGCACAGCCAGGGGCCTGGCTGGTGCAAAGACTGGCTGCCTCCTGACCATAGTGCGAGAGGTGAGGTGGGCTCGCACAAAAGGTCCCCCCATGAGCTTCGAAGGACTTACTGTGGAAGAGATGGAAAGGATGTCCCAGTGAGGTTCCTCTGCGAAAGGAGAAAGACTGAGTAGAAAACAAGAGTTGTTAATGAGAATCTTATCTTAATGAAATATTTTTATCATCCTTCTTACTATTGCTGTATTATAGTTCTTGGAAAGTAACCACCAAGTGTGTTAATTTTCACAGCAGATACAAGGCATGATTAAAACTTGTTTAGTAGTGGGTCTCTGGCATACACTGTGTATAGATCAAAAGTGAAGCTGCCAGAGCAAAACATTTGCCTGCAAAACCTGTCAACTGAGAACACTAATGGGAGCGCTCAGTTCATGTGAGGTTTTCTGCTAATGCTGTGTTCCAGCTGGCAGAAATAAGATAACTGCACTTTATCATTTGTGGGTTTTCATGTTCAGGACTCAGCAGTTGCTACTGAGTTTTAGAAAAAAATTAAGGTTTTCTAGCATACATTTTTATCCTTGTTACCAAAGATACAGGTGAAGAATACATAGACCTGACCAGCTGACTTAAATTTCTGACTTGCCTAACTCCAAGTTAGTTTGACTTCACATTTTGATCTTTGATATAAGTGTTAAGTATCTTTTAAAATTCTTTTGGAATATTTTTTTTAACCATTCTCCTTTGGAGAATGATTCCTGGTTTTAGACAAACTTGTGACTATCACTGATTTTTGGCTAGTGTTACAGGTTAGTATCATTCACATATAGTCTGGAAAATTAATTAGAAGGTACAGTTGTGATAATTAATGAACACTGTATATTTTATTCTGCCTTCACAGAAGGTAGAACTATAGGGCTATATAACTTGTACCTTTAATTTGAGGCTTGTTTTCTTTAACCTAATACACGTGAATCACAGCTTCCCATATTAACTTAGGAGAGATGTGCTGATGTTGATAAATTTTCTGTAAAAGCTCCTAGGAAATGTCTCTCTTTAACGTGCCTAATGGACTGGGAGTCAGCAACTACACTGCCAGTGGAATCATTACAAAGGGGCAAGGAGTAGACCTCTTTGTTTTCAAATGTGTAAAATGGCAATACTAGGAACGGTACCTACAATAATTAGATAACTTAAGATCCTTAGCTGTAAGTTGCTGTAATAATTACCAAAATTTCCAGTGTTAGAAAATGTTAAAAACCTCAGAATTTTATCCTCAGAAATGCTACACCTGTCAGGTTTGGGTGCTTTGTAACAGCCTTATTTCCCATCTTCCAAGAGTTCGGTGATGGCTTTGTCATATCTTCAGTGTAAATTAATCATTAAGAAACAGTAAAACCCATTTTTTTCTTTGAGGTTGACAATTACTCTATTTTAATCTTCACTGGCTGTTTCTGTGCAGATGTCACTGCAAGCAAAAAGTTTATGAGAAACTATATAAGAAACATCACTAAAGGTAGAATTAAAGTGTATGCGTAAACAGTTGTAGGATGAAGTTGTAATAGGGAAGCTGATAAATAGTGAAGTGTGTGATAATTACAAACCAAAAAAGATTTACAGAACTAGCGATCACCTTATTGCATAGAATGTAGTACTCTGTTCTGTACCTTTAAACTATGTACAAGATCTTTTAACTACTGGGTTGCTTGGTTTTTTTAAATGAGACTGCTAAATCAGCTTTTGAAAGGATTTATCAGTTCAGTATTGAACTCCTGAATAAAATGGGAATGTCTATTTTCTAGGAATTTGACTAGAAATCAAAATCTATCCTGCTCACTTCAGTGGGTTTTAGAGACCAAATTCTAAGATGATCCAGCTGTTTTAAATGCTGCATCATGAATGAAATGCTGCTGAAGACCTTTGAGAGTTGCTGAAAATAAACAATATTTAGGTTTCAAACATTCTTGGTACTAAAAACCATTTTAGTTGCAAAATATTTAACTGTTCTTTTCTACCGAGACTGGCAGTTCCCAGGAGGTCTGCTACCAAAACCGGGTTATCTTTTCGCTTGACAGATGACGTTGACTTTGAGCAAAGATTTAATTGCTGCAACAAACATTATTATGAAAGGGCGAGCTAATGTATTCACTGCTGGTTTCCAGCTCTGCCAGGCATTCTAGCCTATTGCCACCTGCACAGTTAATCAGGTCAGCAGCAGTGCAAGAAAGCCAGAGCTAATGAATGTTCATGAATGGCAAATGCCAAAAGACATTTTCACGTTTAACCCTTAATCATAGACCTCCCTATCTTTATACCTACTGCTGTAGTGTAGTCAGCAACACCCACCAGCTACCTGTAGGCAAGTCTTTTTTCTTTATTAGTTAGAAGTTGGAAGAGCTATAATAACACTATTTCAAACAGTGCAGGCATTTTCCTTATTTGTTTTGAACATTTTTCCTTTAATGAGTTTTGTCTCATTACATTTCATACCAGAAGTAACTTTTTATCCCTTCAGGCCAACGAAATGTTGTTCAGTGGAAGGAAGTTGACTGCGCAGGAAGCTTGTGCCAAAGGACTCGTCTCTCAAGTGTTTTGGCCGGGAACATTCATACAAGAAGTAATGGCTCGAATTAAGGAACTTGTCACATGTAATTCAGTTGTAAGTTTTCTTTACTTTCTTACAATACATTTTTATGATTAGCTTAGTAAGAAATAACCTAAGTGTTATTAGACAACATCATAATGTCCTTCTAAAAAAGGCCGTTTTCATGAAACAAGGACCACGTGTTTGTATAGCGATGTCTTTTAACACATTCTTATGTATCTTTTTGTTTCTGGGTTTCCAAAGATTTTTAAGTTTGTACCTGACTCTTCTTCTTTATGGTACGCCATAGCGCATTGTTGTTAAGAACATTTTAACAGTATTGGGCTCTTTACAATATATTTTGGTTTTAACATAGTTGTGCAAGTCCAACTTCTTCTAATTAAGTGTAAGCAGTTGCCCTAAGTACTGCACAGAAACACATGAATCTCGAGTAGTCTTAGGTTGTAATTTAAATTTCTGAGGAAATAAATGCAGTCTTTGACATTAGATTGAACTTAGTTTTATGAGTAAGGCCTAGTGCATCTGTGGTTGTGTGCACTACCGGCAGTTGCACAAGAGAGCTGCAATTACCAATCTTTGATGCTTTTTTACAAAAAAAGATGCGGTACAAATTACTTGTTCTGTGCATTAGACACTTTGGATTTTGAAACAGATTAATAGTTTTCTAAATGGAAAAAGCAAATGAGATTTTTTTTCAGTCTATTTTAAATGCTTAAGATATTTAAGATCTGCCTGGTTACTAGAGCAGCTGCAGATAATAATGTAATAATTCACCTTCACCAGAACAGACAGGAGTTTTCTCTAGTAATCAGTATAAAACCTCATCTATATTTTTTCAAAGTTATGATTTCATAATTTTCATTATTTCCACATTTTTGTGCACTTGCAAATTGTGTTAGTATAGGGCAAAGGAAAGTCTGCACGACGCTATGAAACACTCTGAGAGAAACATTTCTTAGGGTTACAGTATGTCCAGAAATTTATAAGCTTGAGTTCATAATCATCTTCAGTATTTGTCCATATAAACCTGGAAGTGCAGATGTCACTCGGTTCTCATGTAATACTCAACTCCCCTCCTTTTTTTTTTTTGGCCTAGGTACTTGAAGAATCCAAAGCTTTAGTCCGTAACATCATGAAGGTGGACTTGGAACAAGCAAATGAAAAGGAGTGTGAAGTTTTGAAGAAAATCTGGGGCTCAGCACAAGGGATGGACTCAATGTTAAAATACCTGCAGAAGAAAATTGATGAGTTCTGATGAGATTCCCATTGACACTGGAATTGTATTTCTTGGACATCAGGGCAAACAAAATATGCCCATTAAAAAAAAAAACCTATATAGACTCACCCCTTGCTCAGCTTGGGAACAGGAGTGGATTTCCCCCCCCTCCCCTTTTATTGTCAAGGGGTTTTAAAAGTACTGTATCACTTAAATTTGAACAAAACTCCTTTCTCCCTCATTGTTACATATAGATATATACACACACACACAAGTGTATGTGTGTGCATATATACATC